TATCAACCGTCTTTTCTTTGCATTCTCTCAACCGCATCGAATAAAATCTAAAGTAAATTTTCTACTGACTAGTCGATGAATGGTATTTATGAAAATATTAAAGAGAAGAGCTGAAAGAGTTTGCGGGAAAACATATAAAATAGGGAAAAAAACTTTTGGTATCCCCTTTGTAGTAGAAAACTGCCTCATTGCGGTGGAGGTCGAAGGTACGATGGCACGGATTGGAGCGGCGGAGAAGCGGAAAATGAAGGTTTTCGATGCGCTACACTGTCTGACATCTATGTCAGGACTGGGTGTACCCGAATGAATTGATTGGATTTCATCGCCAGAATCGATAACAAGATTCTCTAACGACTGCTTGTTATGATGAACCATTTTATGCAAACTGGGGAGGGGGGCAGTATAGATATTACAATACTTCACAATTTTGACCCCGCTTTTCTCGCTGATTTTAATAAGCGCTGCGTCACAGGCTGCTTGAAATCTGTTTTCGGGGAGTACCCATCACGGTACTTTCCGTCTGAAGTGGCATTGGTGGTGGACACTGGACAGTAAAATTCACTCCGACAATTCAGTAAAATTCTGGACAGTAAAGTATACGCACAGATACTTTTCTTATTACGAGTACATAAAAGTGATAAAACAAACGGGAGACACTCACTCACTCTCAGCCCGGCAGCGGTTGCCCATCTTCATTTTTATACGGGAATGAAACTCATTTTTCCCATTTTTCCATACAAAAGTGGTACGGCTATATGAAAATAAGAAGCGGCACAATCAAAGCGATTGCAATATTTTGTACGCTGCGCTGATGCGCAGATCGCTTACAACGTCTAATGCGTATTTTATTGAAGCTATCAGTTAACCAAATCTCGTCTTTTTTTCTTTTGTTTCGTAACGTCAATTCGCTCTTTCTGGATTGTTTCCCAAGAACAACATGCGTCCTATAGGGTCATTTAACTTCGTTTCTGAATCCCTTTTCCCGCCCTGGGAATCGGTTATTCTGTCTATCGTTTTGGACTATCGGATGGTCTAGGACCGGTGCACATCATGCCGATAACGTACAGCTCAAAGTATGCCGCATGTACATATTGGTTTCTAAGTTTACTTTTGTGGGGCTGCACTCCAAATTTCGTAAACTCGATCTGGAGTTAAAGTGCTCTGCATTATTTGGACTTCCACCCAGTTGCTAATATGAGGATATTAGCAAACGGCTTTACCGCCTATTACGGGCCGCATTCCAAACAGCCGACTGTACGTGCTATCCTAGCTCTACATTTCTTGCAATCCGAAATCGCGCTTTTCAAATATTTTTTCATTAGCCTTCACGTTTCGAAAACATGCTGCGAACGGACCATCCCACTTTCTCAAACTTCGTTTTAATCACCTCTGTGGCCAAACCCTTGGTAAAGTGTATGATTGCTGGGATGCCCCTCTGACCTTAACTTGTGCCGATGTCAAGCGAACCTATTGTTCTTGCTGCAGCGCTTTCTAAAGCACGATTCGGGTTTTCATAGGGCTCGAAAGTCTTCAAATACTGTGCTTTTTTCGGCAGATCAGGTCACTCACGGGTCCAGGTTTTGTGGGACCTGGCAGTGGGACCTGGCAGTACGTTCTCAATTAGCTCCACATCGAAGTCTGTTGAAGAACGTTGGTGCTATCTAGATTCTAGCAAGGGATCAAGGAAAAACATATCTTCCGGTTGTGCTTCTTCACTTCCATTTGGCTTTCCAGCCAAGCGGGCATGCTCTGATGCAAACGCACGATTTATCCTTATTCGTTATTGAGTGAATTGTGAAAAGATCAAAGTTGAAGATTAAGACCATTAAGACCATGTGAAAAGATCGAAGTTGGAGATTAAGACCATTTTTTGGGTTGGGTATGAGTGGCCTTCGCCTTCCGCCTTCGCCTCCGCCTTCCCCTTTTGTGCGGTGCGCATTCGCCTCCGCCTTTCAAAGATTCGCCTTCTTATGGTCTTTCTTATGTAATATTATGTTTCATAGGTAATGTTATGTTGTTCTTAGGTTTCATGAGATATATTCCTAGGTTTAATAAGATATTTCACAGTTTCTTTGGTATCTTAGGCTTCTTAGATTTCTCACGTTTCATTGGTTTTCCAGGTTACTTAGGTATCTTAGGTTTCTCAGGTTTCTTATCTTAGGTGTCTTAGGTTTCTCAGGTTTCTTTGGCTTCATTGGTTCTCAGGTTTCTCAAGTTTCTGAGGCTTCTTAGGTTTCTCAGGTGTCTTAGGTTTCTTAGGTTTCGTAGGTTTCTTAGATTTCTTGGGCTTTTTAGGTTTCTTAGGTTTTTTTAGGTTTCTCGGGTTTATTAGGTTTATTAGGTTTCTTAGGTTTCTTAGGTTTCTTAGTTTTCTTAATTTTTTTGGGTTTCTTAGGTTTCTTAGGTTTTTTTAGGTTTCTTAGGTTTCTTTGGTTTTCTTAGGTTTTTTTAGGTTTCTCAGGTTTATTAGGTTTATTAGGCTTCTTAGGTTTTCTTAGGTTTTCATAGGTTTCTTGGATTTCTAACTCAAGAAACGTAAGGAAACCATAGAAATCTAAGAAACTTATAACGCTTAAGACACCTATGAAACCTAGGAATCTAACTCGAGAAACTGTGGAAACTTGAGAATGCCAATGTGAAAGCGATCTTGTGGAAGGCGAAGGCGAATGCGCACCGCTCAAAAGGCGAAGGCGGAGGCGGAAGGCGAAGGCCACTCATACCTATCCCATTTTTTGCGGTTTCCATGTCACACCAACCTGTTTTCGTAAGTTTCTTCATAGTGTTTCATCATATCCTCCGGTTTATGTATTTTTTGATCTTCTTTGTTTGATAATAGCGCGCGTACGCATATGTGTAACCTCAAGTACTTGGTTGAAGTTCTTTGTCTCGTTTGGTTTTGGTGCTTAAAGTGTTCTGCAACTCACTGTGGTATATGTGGGAATAGTACCGCTTCATTCGTGAATCGTAGCTCGACAACAAAGCAACTAATTCTGCTGTCACGTAAGAACAGCAACGTAAGGACAACGGTCGCTAAGGACGATACCGCGCCCTTCATATGCAGTGTCTCAGTATATCTCACACTTGCCATGTTATGCTCTGGCGTTAGCAGCCCCGGTGGAAATTTGTAAGCGAGATTCTTATCACTGCAGCTGACAAAAAAAAGGCTCGCCCGAAAAGCTTCTGGTAAATCGGCGTCCGCTCATGGTGTCGCATAACTGATAAAGTATAAAAACTTAAAGTTGTCAGGGCTCAAAACGTTCTTTTGCACCCGTTGGTCACCGCTACATGGTGTGGATTCGAGCTTGGCCTACACTCTCACAGCGAGATAGGGTCGCCCGTTTGAATCATATAAATTCGTACCTGGGTTAAGCCGTAGTTGCTAATAAGTAATAATACGAGTAACTTGCCATTTAAAATTATGATAACACCTGCGTTTCCGCATTAGGCAGCTGCGAAAACTGCTCACAACGACAGTTTTAAAGTCTGCTTAAAGTGGAAAGCCTGGGCTTTACAGAGCTAACTGCTTCGCTGGGCTTTGATTTCCTTTTTACGTAACCGCAAGTATACTTACGTACAGTCTAGAACGAACATTGCATGTGCACTGGTGCAGTCTGTATAAAAAAGTAAGTAGTACAGTATATTATCTAAGAATGTGGGAAACTAAGTTGGTCACGTATCTCTTCCAGAATCCAGACCATACTCCGTGCAATCGTAGTAGTATCTATGGTACCTCGATAAAAAAGCTGATACATGTATCGTTACTGCGCTAGGCAAAGCGGTGTCAGCGCTATGATGTTAGCGGAATGAAAAAATGATGTTGCACCCCGGGTCACTACCTGTTTTACGCCCGATCCCAAAACATAAGCAGCGTTTCCACGCTGAATTTCCCCACTTATACGCTAGTAACACTGCCACAGAAACTCGGTAGCGCGCGCTTCTCCTGTTTGCTCTTTTAATGAGAGCTTCACTGTATTTGGCCGACGGGGTCGTAAAGATACGGGACGTAAAGAGCTGTTATCGATCGACTGCTGCTTCCTCTCTCAATTTGCCTTTGCAATGTACATAAAAACCCGTTTTTCGGTTAGGCTGCTGCTTTACAATAAACTCTTTTATTCGTTGAACTTTAGTGGTTGAAGTAGTCTGATGGCAGCACCTGTACGTACGAGGAATATTTTGCATCCATAAAATTTCTTTAAACTCAGCGATTACCGTGTATGTACTGTATATTAAAACGCAAACTAGGAAAATGCACCGAACTGTCCGTATGAGAAAGTCACGTTGAAGAAACGCCAGGTTTCGCAACACGGTTTGTAGTACCGGTCTTTTTCTATGTGCCGGTACCGGACTTCAGCATACATACAGGATAGATTTTGGGTTTCGCGTCAGTATGCCGAAATGGTTGAAAACTTGAACATGAAAAAGCATTACTTTCAGGGCCGACTGCGTCGATTTCTTTAATCAAGAATAGTTTTCGTGCGTGTACGTAGGTGCCATTAAAGACCATTCCAACATGTTGCACTGTACTTCAGACCTAGGGTTGGCTCAAAGGATTTTATTTAAAAAAACGGCGACAGCTGGAGGGAAGGCAACCGCATATTGTAACAGTAGCGCCCTATCTGGCTGCTGTTCTAGTGGGTTGGCGCGTTTGACCGTACCACGATGCTGTGTGGGCTGTTGGGATGAGAGGTGGCACGGCCGGCAATGATGCTGGCCGAGGAGGCTTTTACTGACATAGCACAATTACTGAATGTAACAACGGAAGTTCACGGCATGTTTAATGACAAAAACAATGCAAGACAGGGAGCAAGGTTTAGGCAAGAGTTTAACAAGCTGTAGCAAGCGGAGAGAAGAACGAATTCTAGAAAATGTAAAGGACAGCTAGCCGGTAAAATGAAGAGAGTTCATAACGTAATGATGAATCATAACTGGGTGGTCTTATGGGTGTACAACTTCTAGCGCTACAATATTGGGCGGATGGGCGCACATCGTTAATGATTAATCATGTTGTACAGATATTTGAGCAAGTAACTCTATCGTATATATTTGACGTAGGTATAATGCAGTCGCGTCGACTGCATTCTCATCATGAAACTGAACGGCAGCTCCAGCAACAACAACACCGCCAGCACATACCAGCGCCTCTGTAAAAAGAACGGCCTCTCCGAAATGGTGGAGACCAGCGCTGCCGGTTCGAATCCGGCAATATCGAAGGTTTCACTGAACTCGTAGTATTTATCCCGCCATTTGTTTTCCGCGATAAACGTCATTCGTTGTCGCTCAAACTCCGCTTGCGTCAGACTGTCAGCCAGGAGGAAGCGTTTGGAAAATTTGACGCGTGTCATCTTGTAGACTCCGATGTTATCCAGCTGCCGGTCGCTAGAGAAATCTTCCCAGTATATGAACTGAAAGGCTTGTGCTCCTTTCCAAGTGTTCACTTCCTCGATGCGGGTTGTAACAACTTTTCCCGATGACTGATTACGATGCTTGTTATGATAGCATCTCATGTGCCATACGATGGAAGGCGCACCTGCAAAAAAATGGCATCACAATTCGCCCGGTCGCAAAAAGCCGTAAATTTCAAAGATTGTTAACCAAATTTAGCATTTTGAGACTAACTACGAAAAATGATGTTATTTCTTGCCGTACCGGCTCGGACCGACTCCACGTGCTCGTTCAGATTTGCCACATCAATGAAATTCGTCAGGAACGCCATACTGGAATTACAGCAGAAGGCCTCTATTAAGTAAAGTATATAGCATACCACGAACGTCACGACGCCAGCAATTCCCTCCCGTTTTCGGTCCTCTTCCCACAAGTAAAGAGACGCTAGGACCAGGCCGGTGATGTTGCCCACGAGCAGGCAGATGCGCCAGTACGTGATGCACTTGCTGAACATTTCGCTGCAGGCCGTGCCCATGTTCTGCCATGCGCGCGCATCTTCGGGGTGGCTGGCAAAAGGACGTTCATTGTGGATGACATCAGCGTATACGGGCGGCAATGGCGGGAGAATTGCGTCTGAAGTTGAGCCGGAAGGTAACGACGGTCTACCAGTAGCGTTCGCCGTTTCGTGGAGGATTTCCTGGTAGGAAGGTGGCTGATCGGGACGAATACGAATAGACAATTCCAGCACGACGTTTACGGCGTTCCCATTATGTTCGTAGGATCCAATGTCACTGTTGACAGCTGCGCTGCTAGGCCCATCCCCATGGAATCCGGGCAATGATGCTGCCATGCCGAGCACGGATCTGCTATATCTACAATTAATTTCAAAGATTTATCCAATTTGGTTACCTACAATATTATACTATAAAGCAATACTGTGGGTGAAATATGTAAACGCAATTTTTCCTTAAACGCCTATTCTATTATCCGGATCAGCTCCGACAGTTTTATGGCGATGGGCAGACCTGTAAAGCTACGCCATTAGTCTGCACTAGTGTAGCGCGAGTGTCTCTAATCTTGATTAATTTTATGTGTTTTTATACGCATATCATAAATTATCATTATTATATACAGTACATATTTCTTTCCATTGTCCTGTTTTATGAAGCGACTAAGTTTTCGGGGACACCCCACGTTTCCCCACAGTGTCGATTCATAGGATATGGTCACAGGTAACATTACCTATGGCTATGGGCTATGAGTACTAGGCTAGGCAGGTGCTGCAAAACGCATGCAGGTTGAGACTCGGGTGTAGCCCGTAGGGAAGTGCTACTAAAATAGTAATAGCACTAGCTGATGACAGCAGATGGCGCATATAAAGTTCTTGGAAACTGCCATGCTGCACTTGCGCCTTGCGTTTGGTGGGGCTATTTCAGCATGTACTTGTACAGATAATAATTTTAAATTTCCATGCCTTACCCTAAAGGAGACGGGCCTGGAGGTCCGCTCGCCGCAATATCAGATGATAAATCAGTGGAACGACAATAAAAATCGAAATATCGTATTTTATGACTTCTTTAGCCGTGCTGGCCCTTCGATACTGATAAATTACTGCGTCCTGCGTTAAAGAAATAGAGTCTTGGTAACGAAATACAGTACGGTAGGAATTTACAAACTATCCTATCGTTTGACAGAACAACTTCAAAAAGAAAATCAATTAACGCACTTTTGGCGAAAACTTTTTAAGGCTGTTGATGAATGCAAAGCCCAAGAGTGTGCCATGTGCATCTGTATACAATACTTTACACAGCGGTTTAGTATTCAAATTTAGTGCGTTGTAACAATACGAGCATATTGTAATCATTCCTATACGATAATAATGGCTGTACGAGTGATCGCACTGCCAGACTCAGTGTACGCAGTCTCCGTGCGGCCATGGGCCACCGTCAAACTGCACTTGAGGAGGAATCGACATTCCGTCGTTTGCATAGATGCAGAACATGACACCGATTAGGGAGCGTTTAAACTGCGCTCTATACACCATAGTCAAGCTAACGATAAAAGGGGAGACGGACAGCTGCAGGCCGTTCAGGTGGACATTCCGGCCCTACTACCGGGAGATCGTGGTGCCGGTTTAATTACAGTAATGCGTGCTGCAGCTATTGACTGTCAGTCGTACGAGTGCAGGGCAGGCGTAAGCCTTAAGCGCAGAGAGACACCAGGGGAAATAGGCGTGTTTAGTGTTTAGCCTGTTCACTGTTCAGTGCGGGTGCTTGCGCGTGCACATGGACTATTTCTGGGTATTACTAAAGTCTGTGACTGTGACTGGGTGGGACTGGGTGGGAGTGGGAGTTTATGTGACTGGGACCTTCTGTGACTGTGACCGTCTGTGACTGTGCCGGACTGGGCCTGGGAGCGATGGGGACTGTGACCATTTGGGACTGGGACTAGTGTGCGCTACTTTACGCCAAATCGACCGAAAGCGCACTTCCGGTCAGTTTTTTAACCAAGTTAAAAATGCGTATGTTAAACTATTTAATCGAAATTCGTCTGACCAATCAGAAAGATAAGGCGGTAGCTCCGAACGATTGAAAGTGTCCGTGTGCTTGAGGCCATCTAGTAGCAGTTTCTTAGATCGCCAACAGTTCATTTATTTTACAGTAAAACTTCCTCTTACGTACACTCCCAAGATACGTACACCTCTATCTTAAGTACAAAAAATTCTGTACCGAAACTCTCCGTAGACTACAGTACAGGGGGGAACCTCTACCTGACGTACACCTCCACGATGCGTACACGTACACCTTTTCTCTGTACCGCCTAAGCATTGAACTGTACGCAATCACCTCGAATATACGTAAACCGGGGAGTTAGCATTTATTTTTTTAAATATTTGATGGGAAAATTGTGAAAATCTAAAGGAGCTAGCTCAAAATTGTACGTTGTTTTTTGTTCTGAACTGATTCGGACGATGTTTTCTGTTTGAACTATGTGGGAGAGACTATTTCCGCCTGCTTATATGCTGTAAAAAGATAAAACTGTGTGTGAACTGTGAACTAATGCAGAATATAGCATATGCAGTACATTTCAGAACTGCACGCAGTGTACAGTGCAGCATAATGCAATACACTGAGTATTCCGCGGTGGGGCACTGCCCTCGTTATACAGTCCCCCCAGGGGGGCTTGGGGGTGGCGATTCTATGTTACGTACACCTCTGAGATACGTACGAAAATTTTTGAACGGAGGTGTACGTATCTTGGAGGTTTCACTGTACCTGAAATTGTGTGATATCAGCGTATTTTTTTACGAAAGCAAATTCTTTGATAATTATGAAGTAGCTAATTGCTTAATAAACAGCAGCAAATTAGTACACCGATAACCGTAATTTACGTTCTTCGGTAACTACATGTATGAATTTACTGTGAGCCTGTGATTACATAACTGCGGTCAATTTAAAACTCATGACAGTCTGTGGAAAAATTATCGGAAATATGAAATTTCTGTACGCTGTTATCAAAGGCATTCAAAGTGGACCTCTTTAATATGAGGCGTCATTGATGTCTAACAATAAAATTTTGTTGCATGGATAACATTTATTATTAAGGCTACAATTTAAATATATAATTTCAATTAATTTGCTAGAAACTGGGATTGCTAGAAACAGTGAAGCGAACAGCAAGATTTTTTAATCTGGCGCAGCACCCGTGGGTGGCATGCGATAGCGACAACTTCGGGACGCATACCGAGCGCGCACCTGCTTCGCGGCCCAGGCTCAAACTCGGACTTGGACTCGGACTTGGACTCTAAAACTTGGACTTCACTTGGGCTCTAAAACTCGGACTTCACTTGGACTCTAAAACTCGGACCTTACTTGGACTCTAAAACTTGGACTTTATGACTTGGACTTGGAATTAGGCGTTTCTCATGTTTCTCATGTCTTCTTACGTTTCTCCATGTTTTCTTAGGTTTCTTAGGTTTCTTAGGTGCACTTAGGTTTCTTTGGTGTTCTTAGTTTTTCTGGTCTTTTAGGTTTCTTAGGTTTCTCAGGTTTCTTAGGTTTCTAAGGTGTTCTTTGGTTTTTTTGGCTTGTCTTAGGTTTCTTAGGTTTTTCACGTTTCTTAGGTTTCTTAGGTTTTTTAGGTGTTCTTAGGTTTTTAGGTCTCTTAGGTTTCTTAGGTTCGTTAGGCTTCTTAGGCTTCTTAGGTTTCTTAGGTTTCTCAGAATACCAAAGAATACCTAGATAACCTAAGAAATGTTAGTAACCTCAGAAACCTAAGAACACCCAACAAACCTAAGAAAACCAAAGAAACCAAAGAACACCTTAGAAACCTAAGAAACCTGAGCAACCTAAGAAACCTATGAAGACAAAGGAAACCGAAAAAACCTAAGAATGCTAAGAAACCTAAAAAACCTAAAAAACCTGAGAAACCTGAGAAAGCATGAAGAAACGTAAGAAGACTTGAGAAACGCCTACAACCAAGTCTAGGTCATAAAGTCCGAGTCTTAGAGTCCAAGTGAAGTCCAAGTTTTAGAGTCCAAGCGAAGTCGAGTTTCAAGTGAAGTCAAGTTTATAGTCAGATCCAACAACTTGGCAGGCCCTGCTTCGCACATCGATTTTAAAATGCTAAAAAGCTGTCGGGGCATAGGTAAGGGGCATATATTCTAGAATTTGGTGGTTAATTCGCTCAGAAATAGCCTATAAAAGATAGTCCATAAATCACGTAAGCAATGTAAATAATTTACTGTATTTCGATCGTTCATTTCTTCCGCGCGGGGTTTACTACTAGTACTCTGTAGTCAGAAAATAATTTGCACCGAGCGCGAAGCGCCAGGTGCCCTTCGTCAAGAGCATAAAATTTGTCTGACGCCACGAAGAGCGTACGTCACGCTTTTCCAATTCCACAAGTCCAATACCATTTCCCAGTGGTACTGGCGCTCGCGCTCGTGCAATGATGTGGTTCGCAACCACCGCTAGTAAGTACTAGAAGAGCACGTACGCGTGTCACTTACCGTAAGTTACTTACCGTTAAAAGTAACCTATGTAAGTTCTGCAGCGAAATAATTGTTACTTACCGTAAGTAACAATTATTTTTCCACTTTCTTAAAAGGCGTTTCCTAACCTCCTATGTTTGTACATCCAGCCCCTGCTCCAGTCAATATCGCGCGATGCGCTGTTACATATTTCAGAGTTCATGCAGTTTTTGAATTATTTTTTTTATGGACAAGACCAGGGAGAGACCAGAGCTTTTGTGTTGCAAAATTTTTTAATGAAAATTTTGTTGTGTAAAATTTTATTGACGACAATTAATGCATTAAAGGTGCAAAATTTTAAAAAGAAGGCTTCAGTTTAAAACTGGCCGGAAGTGCGCTTTCGGTCGATTTGGCGTAAAGTAGCGCACACTAGTCCCAGTCCCAAATGGTCACAGTCCCCATCGCTCCCAGGCCCAGTCCGGCACAGTTACAGATGGTCACAGTCACAGAAGGTCCCAGTCACATAAACTCCCACTCCCACCCAGTCCCACCCAGTCACAGTCACAGGCTTTAGCAATACCCACTATTTCTCTCTGGGTGCCTCTCTGCAACTGCACCTACCTGACGCGTTTCACATCCCCTGCCCACATTAATTTTGTACGAGTACAAAAGATGATATTTTGTTGCACACTAGTAATCGATAATTAGTTCCAAATAGATTACAGTTTTTCGTATCGAAAAAAGATTCATTCTGTAGCCTGCATCTATGCAACGACGGAATGTCGATTCCTCCTCAAGTGCAGTTTGACGGTGGCCCATGGCCGCACGGAGACTGCGTGCACTGAGTCTGGCAGTGCGGTACCACAGACGCGTTTGCATGAAACGTACGTAACTTTTTTA